CCCCGGTCCACATCTGAGATCGAGTTTTCGTCTCCGCCAAATAAAACAGAATGTCGACCGGAAGCTAGTTCAAAAGAAGCAATGGCTCAAAATATCCCGCAATAAAAGTGACGAAGAAACGACTATTGCAACTCGTTCCAGCAACGTCCGTGAAATCCCACAAGCAAAGAAGCAAACACAGCAGAAAAAAATTCCACCATGTTCAATAAAGAACCCCTCGACCAAGATTCTGATTTTGTCGAAGACACTAAGGAGATGAAACTCGACGAAGATGTCATTGAAAGCGATGACTAGACGATGGAGAATAAAAGAGATCAAGGCTTAATGACGAGCGTCAAAATCTTGACCAAGACGGGCATTAGAATATTTTCAGTGTATGCTGCGTTTATACTCAATATATTTTCAGTGTATGTCGTGATTCTATTTACATAACATTTTTAACCATAATTGTGATGTTTGAATTTTGTTTATATTTTCTAATTAATTTTATTCCAACGATCTATACAACATTGATATGTAAAACACTTTATAAGCGCTCTTCAGAATGTAAAGGAAAAAAAGTTATACATACTATAACACAATTTTTTTGTTGCTGAAGAAGAAAAAATTGACATGTATGAGATAGGAATTAATGAAGATGTCACTGAAAACGACCGACTAAAAAAAAATGAATGACAAAACCGACTAGGTCGACAATTATAAGAAAATAGGTCTATGCTTAACGATGAACGCCAAAATTTTGTGGAAAACGGGCATTCGAATAATTTCAGTATATGTTGTTTTTATAGTCAGTATAGTTCCATATATGTTGCATTTTTGTTACATGACATTTATCTAATACAATTGTGATTTTTTTATTTTGTTTATATTTTTTCTTTATAATTTTTACTTAAGATACAACATTGATATGTATCACACATTATAAGCGCTCTCCAGAACGTAAAAAGATATACATATTAGATTACAATTTTTTGCTCAATCAAAAATTCGGTTTATACTTTACGTATAACCTATAATTATTTATATAACATATAAGTATATATATATATATATGTGGTAATGGGGCTACAATTGTTTTTTTATTAGTAGAAAAGTTAGGGGGAAATAAAAGAGATTTTATTTGATAGTTGTTAGAATCTTAGACGTGAACTTATGAAAATAGAAAATACAGAATAGGTCGTACGTTGGTGAATGCATGTATATACTTGGTTTATAACAAGTAACTATTTACATAACATATATTCATACACAATTTTCGAATTTGTTGCGTTTATAGTCAGCAAACTCTAATCAGAAAAATAATATGAAATTCAAATTTTAAAATTTAGTATTTTCCAATATAAATTTCAAAATGCTAGTATTCGAATTCTATCCTTGTGATTGTACTTTACATGTAAAGCCGAATTGTTGTTTTTTTTTTTTT